TTTTTTTTTCATATTATAATATATATATATATATATTATAATATGAAAAAAAAAAATAACATTTTAAGAATTAGCTTATATATATATATATATATAAACATTTGTTTTTATTACAGTGCGGCATTTTTTCATGGACAAATAGAACAGCCAGTGAGAGGAATTATGTCTTTAGTTAACCATAAGGATATGGAAGTATTAATTGCTGTCAACGAAAGAGGAGTTTTTATTATAGACTGCTTCGAAAATGTAAGTACTTTTTATACCCTGAACCTATTGTAAATGGAAAATCAGGAAGCCCACACTGCAGTCAATGCGTATTTATGCTTGCATCCCTATGTTTTTCTTCTTTAAGCAGAAGAATTATTGTTAAATATCAATTCTTCGAAGGGTTCAGTGGATTTCGTAATCGAGCAGTCTCGACTAGAGCTTTCTTACTTGTTATAGGTATTTTATTTTATTTTTATGACATCGTGACTTTTATGACAGCTAACGGATTTTGTTTGGTTAGTGATTGTCACTATGTATTAACATTTATATTACATATATTCGTAGACTCTTTTATTGGGACTCCGATATGAAGATCTGTCGTGGGATTATGCTAAGCCAAGTGCTACTGATGATTTGGAGTGTCTTACATGCATATTCCTGCAGGTGTGTATATAAAAATTTTTATGCAATCTGAAATTAAATGTGAATTTTTTTCAGTTTGACGCTATTGAAAATGGAGTACAGATATCTAAGCTTGTGCAAGTGTTTTCAAAGCAAGCTGCTATGATTGATGCTCTTATATCCCATTTTACTGGGCAAATGCGTAAAAGAAAACAAGAGGGAGGCTCAGCTGAGCAATGTCATGATGGTAAGTGACGACTAATCAAAGTCAAAGAGTATTAGCCTTTGGAGTATTAACCAAATTTTCATTTATAAAATTGTTCTACGTACTAGTTTCTGCTGTTTGTCTATCTGTACGGATACCTCGATATAATAGTTTCATGTTATTATTCCTATGTAAAAACAGGTTGCACAGTAAAAATAACAATCAACTGAATCTCTAATACGTATGTATGTATTATCAGATTTATAAAAAAAAAAAAAACAAATACAACAACGTTGCAGTCGGGCGTTACCGACTGCGGAATACTCATTCACACCCCATCAGCA